TTTGACAAAAGATATGATTCTTAGCCAACTCGAACTTATTTTGTTATCATTTCGCTGTTATGCTCAATTTGCCTTCAGTGAGACAGTTTACAATATATTTCTCTATAAACGAAAGTTATATAGAGGATATTTGTTAAGTTCAGTGTAAGATCGGAATATATTTCACCGAGTGAGCACCAAAAGGTATATTTCACGAGTGTCGCAGCCACGAGTGAAATGTGAACTTTTGGTGTACACGAGGTGAAATATATTTCGATCTTACACTAAACTAAACAAATTTTCTTTTTATTACATGCAATCAAACGTTAAAAAGGACATTGTTACCTAATAATAAATGAATAGCCCGTCAAATAATTATAATTCGTGACGTCATCTACGACGTCATGTTTTTAGTTGGTTTCCAGTTCTGTGTACGCTGGTATTTCACTGAAACAACGTAAGGGGCTTAAATTCAAAACAGTGAAATTATCAATTGATAATTTCACTGTATCAAACAATGAAACTATCAGTTCAGTTTTAATTCACTGATATATTTCTATAAACCATCGAAAAGCATGTAATAGTATAACTGTATACGTACGTTTAATATCGTACACTGATATACTCCAATCACCTCCGCATATTTCATTTTTGTTACCTGCACAAGTAAATGTGCAGGCTTTGGTAGGAATCTTGAGTTGTATTTGATAGCCACAATAACACTCATTACGAAACTGTAAAAATTGCATTCAAACAAAAGAGTATACAACCATACGAGTTATATGATGCAAAACATAACTTTTTCATGTTTACTTTCTCGTAGCATATAACGTTAACCGATTTCTTTTAATTTTTTTATAGTAAAGCCTTATATCCAGTCTACAGTCCTTCTAACGATATTTTAGTGTAAAATTATAATTATGCAAGTACATAAATGTTTATATATAACTATTTTTTTCAAATTCTCATTGCCTCACTTAAAATATTATATAAATATGTTAATATTGATTTTAATGAAAATGAATAAGTGACATTAGACAAAGATGCGATGTTAAGATATGAAAAGTCTGACTTATTGATTGTTAAAATAAGATAAATTGAGCAATGGAAAATATATCCTATTACATTTTTTTTTAATTTTCTATTTTTTTAATTAAAAAATTTAATAGGATATATTTTTCATTGCTCAATTTATCTTATTTTAACAATCAATAAGTCAGACTTTTCATATCTTAACATCACATCTTTGTCTAATGTCACTTATTCATTTTCAATTTCATTCAAGTACTAACAGTATTTCATAACAATATATTCCCAATTCAAATTGGGTTACCTCAGTGCCAGCGTATCTGTATCCATTACTTCTACAAAATCGAATACATTCGTCCCCGCTGTTTGTATTTGAAATGCGTCTGTCCCCGTCTAAAATTCTATACTGAAAGTCCCTAAAGCAACCAATATAACCGTCGGGCGTGTAAGCTATAATGTAAAGAACTTTTATTCAAAGCTTTATAAATACTTTATTATAAACTGTTATAATTAAAAAAAAAATATATATTATTTACCACTTATTTAAATCATTATTTTATAATTCAAAGTTGAAATCAATTCTAATACCAATTTACTTACATTGTGAACACGTAGAATAAAGCGAAAGTGTTGAAATTAAAAGACCAAGATATTGATGCATCGTATCAACCATATATAAACAAATTCGGTACAGAATTAAATAAAAATAAAATGTTTGCTGAATTTTATATCAATATTACAAGGACGTTTAGAAAACAGTTTAATTGCGGATGCAAACACTCATCATTTTAACGTAAGCATTACGTGCAAATAGCATTGATTATTTGTACTCGAATCAACAGTGATGAGAAAGGGCATGTAGTGCGTTTAACCATTTGATTTTTCAAGTGAATGTCCAATTCATCATACTTTAATTTCTTTAATTGTCACAAAAATAACCTAAATCTCCCCACCCCTTCATAAAACCGTAGATATAATTACTTTCAGTTTCAAAATGTTGAGGCTCTTAATCTGCAGAATATACATTATAGAGATAACTTTACCCCACCACTTTATTACGGATGGTTATACTGGAATCACTTTGTCACGTCCTCCCATCTGTCCGTCTCTGCCGTTTCCGCTTCATAAAGTTGGCTCAAATCAAGTACCCCCTTGAAGGATTTCCTTCTGTTTTGTTCACCTCAACAACTTGGTGTGCAGAACACTTGTCGCCACTGTTCTAGCTCATACGTCAATGTCAGATAATTACAAGTGAGCTCTACAAGTTCTTTTAAAAAATAAAATGACCTACATAGAGCCCTGTATCATTGACTCTTGGTTATTCGTTACATTTGTGGCAGCTCTAGTTTTGAAATGCATTCAACATGAAAGAACATTAAAGTGATTCAATAGTGATTTCAGAAAAATCAAACTTAACATACCAAACACTACATAGCATATTTAGATTGCAAATATATGCAGATTCGACTGGATCTTTACCAGTGGCAAAGACTTTTCACCACTTTTGATTCGTTTGTTTGTTTGTTTGTTTGTTTTGTTTTGTTTTTTTTTTTGGTTTTACGTCACATCGACACAGTATATGTCATATCGCGACGTTCCAGCTTTACTGGTGGAGGAAGACCTCAGGTGCCCGTCCGTGCATGATTTCAGGCACGAACGGGCACCTGAGTAGAACCACCGACGTTCCGAAGGCTAGCTTGATAGATTCCTCACATGAAAGAATCCAAAGTCCCTGTCGGATTCGAACCAACAGCAGTGAGGGGCAAGTGGTTTGTCAGTCAACGACCTTAACCACTCGGCCACGCACTTTTGATTCAAAGGAGTTGAGAGTTTATGGTTTTATCAGCTATCCTAACTTCCCATGCGTGTATGAAATTGCCACAGATTCCCCATATTTCATTTATGACAATAATAAATCTTTACCACAGACTTCCCATATTTCATTCATGATAATAATAAATCTTTGCCACAGATTCCCCATATTTCATTTATAATAATAAATCTGTGCCGCAGATTTCCCATATTTCATTTATGATAGTAGTAAATATAGGGACTTTAAATGAAAACATTCGGTAAAAAAACCTAGCTGGATTGCATAAATTGTAAAAGATAAAAAGTTGTTTTGTTTGTTTGTTTGTTTGTTTTTGTTTGTTTTGTTTTTTTGTTGTTGTTTTTTTTAGGCCTAATGTAAAACTGTTACCGATTTGCATTTGTGGTTCATTTTCAAACAGCAAAAAGCTGGCTGAATATTGATAAAAAGATAAAGCTTTTTATAAGCGTATGCCGTTCTCTTTCACTCAAAGAAATGTCATGAGGAATGTTGAATGATGAAATGATGTAAAATACCTAGGCACGTTAGAATAAATAAATATTAACAAACTCTCAGTCAGTCGCTTTTTCTCGTCTTGCATGTTAAATATTTAAGTTTTGTGAATACATATGTAAAACTATTTATTATTGCTAGGGAATCAATAGATTTATTTAAGTAGTAAATATAAGCCGAAAACCCTCAAATATGTAACATGTTTAATTTCACAAGGCGCGTAGCGCCGAAGGGAATTCAATATTTTACTTAATGGTCAGTTCTAAATCTTACTTAAATTATCACTTTTGCTATCAAATATCATGTTATCTAGCAAAGCATTAGAAATAATGCACTTTGTACAAAAATGTACTAAAAATGTACAATTTAAATGTTTTAGAAATGATTTTTTTACTTGCAAATACCCTATAAGTTGCCTCTTGAATAATCAGATGTCTTCATGTTTTTGAAATATGACCAATTATGTACATGAACACAATGATATACACAAAATGTACCAGGGACTTACACACAAACAGTATATATCAATTTACACTAGGGATTTTGACAAAACAAGTAAAATATTAAGTTTTAAAATTTGTGATGATTCTCTGTTATTTTGACTGATTGACTGAGACAATTAATTTCCTTTGATGAGGAATTGTACTGTAAAATGTTTTGTAAACTTGTGTCATTGTGAATACTTGATATTCACGCAACAAAATGATACTTTCTTATTTTTGATTTAATATTTGTCATACCACAAGAGTCTGAAATGTTTCTATATAAAAGTCAAACATATATGTAGTCAAATATAACCGCTTCTGTTTATATATTTTCTCTGTTAGGTTTATTTGAAAAGTTGATATACGTACATACAATGAAGCAAATCAGGTATGATTGTAAACTAAATGTAAGTACATGTATAAAAACGAGACAGAAAAAGAGAAAGTTAGGCAAGAAATTAAACCATTTAAACAATGCCATCAAAATCATATACTTACTGACGCCCCGCTTCCTTTCACTAGGGAAGAGTAAGCAATGATATGACTTTGTAGAGCTTGGAATTGAAAATCAGTAGTCCGGAAGATAGTATTCGTGAAATGAGCAAATAAATTAATCGGTTTTAGCATTTCTGTATCGCATAGAACAATTATTGTTTGTTTTTTTAGCTCACCTGACCACGAAGTGGTCAAGGTGAGGTATAGTGATGGGGGCTATGTCCGGCGTCCGTCGTCGTGCGTCGTCAACAATTGGGTTGTCAACAGTCTAGCAGTCACAGTTTTGATTGGATCATTGTCAAACTTTGTCAGAATGTTTGTCTCAATGAAATACAGATCGAGTTCGAAGATGGGTTATCTCGAGTCAAAAACTAGGTCACAGGAGCTAAAAATAGAAAAAGCTTGTTAACACTCTAGTGGCTGCATATTCTAGAAATTTGTCAGGAAGGTTGTTTTGATATTTTCTAGGTCAAGTTCGAAGATGGATCATCTCCGGTCAAAAACTAGGTCACAGTAGCTAAAAATAGAAAAAGCTTGTTAACACTCTAGTGGCTGCAGTGCAGTTTTGATCCAAATATTCTAGAAATTTGTCAGGAAGGTTGTTTTGATGATTTCTAGGTCAAGTTCGAAGATGGGTCATCTCCGGTCAAAATCTATGTCACAAAAGCTAAAAATAGAAAAATCTTTATAACACTGTAGTGGCTGCAGTTTTGATCCAAATATACTGGAAAGTTGTCAGAAAGGTTGTTTTGATGATTTCTAGGTTTAGTTTGAATATGGGTCGTTTCCAGTCAAAAATAAGGTCACATTGCCCAAATATCGAAAACCTTTTTAACACACTAGAGGTCACATTTTTGACTCAATTGTCATCAAACTTGGCCAGGATGCTTGTCTAAGATATTGTTTGGATGCGGTTGATGGATCAGGGGAGCGATCCAGGGCCATCATGGCCCTCTTGTTTTGTAAAATTCTGTAAAATGAGTAATGGCCGGGAGAAAGGCGTTGCATTTTTGATAGAAGAGGTTACATTTCACTTATTTTTATTTGGATAATATCCAAAGTCCTGTGGTCATACAAGCTTCTGTCACTACACGACAGGCTGTTTAATATTAATGTGCTACACGATTAATATTGGACTTACACAATAATATTGGACGCCTACCTGTACTGTATTAAAATTCAGTACGGGCAGACCAAAGGAATGGCTTCATATAGTAACTTAAACCAAGTATAATCAGAAATGTGGTTTGCATGTGTTGTGACAACTGGTTTAATCCAATTCACTTCATAATCATATCAAGAAAATTAAATGAGGCCAGTTCATGTCATTTGTATATGTTATTTTGATGCCAATGTTTTTGTATTAATCTTCACACAAATTTAAAGTCAACATTTTACATAAAATGTAAGGAAGAAAATATTCTCAACAATTAGATCAAAAGCATATAAAATGATTCATTTTTTTCTTCTATTCTGTCTATTTAACTATGTACAAACATTTGGAAAATTATGTCACATGGTTGAAATATTCATACCACAAAGCTGACCCTTTTTCTTACGTGGAATTTACTATGGTTAAATATATTAAATTTAAAAAAAGTTAAATCTAATAATAAGAATTAAATGTATTTGAGATTGGAATAATCGAATAGCATAATATTCATACAATCGAGTAGCATAATATGCATCATAATCGTACAAAACAAATTTCATATAATCATATAGCACAAAATCCAAATAATCGTGTAACATTATATTCAAACAACCGTAATGCATAATATTCATATAATTATATGACGTAATATTCATAATTTATAATTATATTATCCTATAACGTTCAATTAGCATCAGGATTAAATCCGATACTGAAATATTTTCTAGATTAATTTCAATAAAGTGTTACGAGCCAGGCGTAACGAGAAAGAAAAGCCAGCAACAAACTTGTAACAATAACAAATTTATTACAGAAAAATTATTAAAGAAAAATAAAATAACAAATTATCTTTACAGATACCTGAAGTCCAAATAAAAATTACAAATGTCTAGTCTGATCCTGGAATGATCCTTTTTAAATAGCACAGTTAAATCCAAGTTAAATCCAAGAACACTTTAGAATAAATTCCCACAATAAAATCCACAAGAATAATTAATAATCCAAACTCCAATAAATCACTTAATTTCCAAGTTGAATAATACTCCAAATATATTGATGACTTAAAAGATCACTGATGACTAAAAAGGTAACTGATGACTTCAAAAGGTAAAGGTAATGAAAAATGTCAATCTATATATATTAACTAAGAAGTTTCTAGAATAGTCTTCCATTTACTACAGTAATCATAATCTAGCAACTTCACCAATAAAGATCATTCCAGAAATTTCTATCTAAATATAATGCATGAG